TAGAATTTGTTACAGAAGATGACAAGTTAATAATAAATGGTTCGATAAAGTCTGAAAATCTCAAGTCAAACAATGCAGCGGTTGTTGATTCAACTGGGGATGCAAACAAATTAGAGTCATTGTGGGAACATCAAGAATTGATTGAACAATTAAAGATGGAAATTAGAAAAGTCCGAGCCACGGGTCTGCCTACTATTTTGGAAGAATCTGAGTCTCCAACAATGGACGAATTACAACCATGGAAGATTGATGAAATGCTTCATCGCGAAGATTGCATGAGCGAACTTCACAAATTCTACAAGAGTTACAGAGAAAGAATGCGCAAATTTGACATTTTGACGTATCAGAAGATGTATGCAATAGGTCAGTCACAACTCTAAACTACATAATTTCTTTTTATACTAGGTCGGCGTATAAAAGCTAAACTCTTTTTTAGATAGGCTATTTTTCTGCTAAATAATCATGGAAAGTATCATTATGTTAGTCATTACCTAACGGGTGCACCAGGATTAATGTCCATGTTCACCATCATATTTCATTGTTCTGTACAAAAAAGTAATCTACTGAAAAGAATAAAGTGGTTCACCTTTAATTATTTCAAAAGTTTAATATTGGACCCACAAGATCTAGTTTTGCTGGGGCTCCTGAAATTCATAATAGTAAACATGAAAGCAATGCATTGGATTCATGATGTAAGGAACAGAGGTCGGCCCTAGTGAAAAGGCTTACACTTTCGACCTTTCTCCTATTTTATGTTTTTGTCCATGTGAAAAACAAAAGGTTAGATAATAATACACAATTTCGACATTTTTTTTAAGTTTATTCAATTTAAATTGGATAATGTTGTCATGTGAATAGGAGGATACGGATTCGAGCCCTGGAAACAACCTCTTGCAGAAATGCAAGGTAAGGTTGCGTAGAATAGACTCTTGTAGTCGGTGGCGGATGTAGAGTATAGTTACTGGGTTCCCGGGAACCCAGTAACTTTTGCAGAGACCCTATTTTTATTAAAAAATCCATTAAATATCCATAATTATTTAATTGTGAACCCAGTTATTATTGTATATTAATTTAATATTACAATAGGAACCCATAAACTTCAAATTCTGAATCCATATCTTGTGGTCTGGCCCTTCCCCGGACCCGCGCATAACGGGAACTTAGTGCACTGGGCTGCCCTTTATACAATTTGAGTAGGTCAAAATGTTGTTTAAACACACACTAGTTAAGGACCATTCACACGAAGAGGAAGATTACACAACAAGATGTCCTTATTATATACTACTGCACTTGCTAGAAGTATGTACATGTTTCTTTCTAGTGAAGCTGTGTGCACAGAATACACAAGTAAAAGAATAATTTTAAAAAGCCTATGCTGACCTTTTGTGTATGACCATATCTGGATAGTTGTACCTTTTATACTTTCATAGCTTATACACATACGTTTGTTGGCCAACGACAAACAATTTGCTTAAGATGATCTTGACTTTGAAATTTATTGGATTTGTTATTGACTGCATATGTATAGTGGCAGAGCCAGAATTTTACTTAGGGGTGTCAAATTATAAATAAATAAACACGTGAAGAAAAAGGGCAGTCAACATATAGTATATATACATAAAAATAAACTTTTGACCTAGCTAAACAGTGTAATTTTCCGGCAAAGAGATGTCAATTTTGACACCCCTTTGCATAAGGTGGCTCCGCCACTGCTTACATAGCAGATCATAGTTTTCTTCCCCAAAAATGTTCATCTAGTTGCTTCGCAAAATTCCTTGTTGTTTCTTAGAAAAGTCACGAGCTTTGAATTTGGTTCCTCACAAAGTATATGGTAGCTAATTTGCTTTAAACGCTGATAGTTTAAAAGGATCTTATAACTTAAACCTTTTAAACATTTTGTGGCTCTAATCCAAAATGTTTACAGGTTATTTGCAGAAAGATCCGCAAAAAGATCCACTGCAATTACTCTTCAACCAGAAATCTTCAGGTCCAACACTAAAATCCCTTGTCTCACAAAATATTAGGCTATTCAAACATAAAAGTCATGACGACATTGACCCAATGGTAAAGTTTATCAAAGAATTGCAGAGTGATTTGGAAGTGGTATACGTTGGACAGATGTGCCTTTCCTGGGAATTTCTGCACTGGCAATATATGAAGGCTTTAAATTTGTGGGATTCTGACCCACGTGGGATCCGAAAATACAATGAAGTTGCTGGAGATTTTCAACAGTTTCAAGTGCTCATGCAAAGATTTATAGAAAATGAGCCTTTTCAAGGGCATAGAGTTCAATATTATATCAAGGGCCGATATGATCTTCGTAATCTTCTTCAAGTTCCTGTTATAAGAGGTTAGTATCTGAAAAGACATCTCTCCTTTTTGCTCTTGTTACTTGATTGTTGGTGGATAAAATTAGATGTGGCAAATGAGCAGGTTCTTCACATTTGGGCGGGTCAAAATTGGTCAAATCAAATAATGGGTCATGATCCAATTTACCAAAAGTTTATTTGGCTCAAGACGAGTCAAAAGAAGAGTAACGAGTCATAACCCAGCTCATCCAACATGACCCGACCTCTCCTCCTTTTTATTCTTCTTTTGGAAAAGGAACGAAGTGAAAAAAAACTTAATTTTTTTAAAATTATTAGCTTTTACTTAATTCTAGGTTTCCAAACTTCATTTTGTATGTTTGGATTGTATTTGATTAGTTGAGTTACTATTTTGATCCGTTTTGACCCAATAGCTTGATGGTGGTAATTTTGGGTTCAACTTGGATAAAGTTAACAAATATGTCATAACTCAATCCCTGTAAACTTGGACGGGTTGAGAGAATTACTAAAAATGGATTAATTGACACCTCTAGATATAGTGTATTAAATTTACAAAGTGATATGCAGATGACAGAGTGAAAGATAGAAACAAGGCAAGAACAAGAGAGAAAGATGACTATTCAATTAAAAATGACATGCTAGTGGAGATACTGGAAGAATCAATACGAATATTTTGGCGCTTTGTCAGAGCTGATAAAGATTGCTATAGTGTGATGGCAAAAGCGAAAGGTCAAAAGGGAATTCATCCAGAGGTTCAAGAAGAGGACGATCTAGAGCTTTTACTGGAGATCAGAAAAAATCTTGAAAAGGTTAGTTTCTAAGTTTGTCACAGACATTTGCTTTCTCTAGTTATTATATCATATGAAAGCTTAAGATGGTAGAGATAAGAATATTTTTATTTACTTATTTATGTTAAGTCTCAAAATATCTGTTTTTATAATTGGAATCTACAATGACATGGACTGCTTAATCTCAATTTTTATGGAAAAATGCAGAAAGAGAAGAAGCTGCAGGATGTTTTGAGAAGTGGAAATTGCATATTGAGGAAGTTCAGGAAGCAAAGAGAAGAGGATTCAGATCATGTACTTTACTTTTTCTGTCAAGTAGACATGAAATTAGTGGCTAGGGTCCTGAACATGTCAAGGCTAACAAAAGATCAACTAGTCTGGTGTCACAACAAATTAAGTAGGATTAGTTTTGCACAAAGGAAAATACATGTAGAACCCTCTTTTTTGCTCTTCCCTTGTTAATATAATAGTCAAATTTTAGTATCAATTATGCCAACAAATTTCTTTGTTTATTAAATCTTTTGGCCGTGAAAGGAGGTAGCTTCATCCTCGTCTATTTATCTTTTACAGTAGGAAGTTTCCCCAACTCCAAAGAGTGAATTGCGAACTAAAGGTAACTTCTGATGAACATGAAGTGACATGTTGGGAAAGTCAGTCTCTTGCACGAAGAAACGTGCACTGAACTAACTGCATCACTTGCTGTAATATAAAGGTGAAAAGAAAAGAAAAGAAAAGAGAGAAGGAACTCGCACACTCATACATTAATATATTTTAAGGACTGAATCCGATTTCTGACAGTAAGTCCACCAATTGTACTGTGTAAACAAGTAGTAGTACAATAGTGGTTTTGTGGGGTTCTCGCATAATTAAGTAACACACCTTACAAACTTTAGCCTATTTGGCCAAGCTTTTTGTGGGCCAAAAGTGTTTTTTTCCAAAAATTGAAGTGTTTTGCCAAATTTTTAGAAAAAAAAAAAGTGTTTGTGAAGAGAAGCAAATGTAGTTTTTGAGAAGCAGCAAAAAATAGGTTCTCTTCGAAAATACTTTTTTGAGAAGCACTTTCGAGAAAAATACACCTAGAAGCAGTTTTTAAAAGCTTGGTCAAATACTAATACTTGTTTTTCAAATTAATTAGTCAAACACAAACTGCTTATCAACAAAAGCACTTTCTTGAAAAGTACTTTTGAGAAAATCACTTCTCAAAATAAGCTGATTTTAAAAGCTTGGCCAAACATGCTATTAGATTAAATGCAATCCAGCATGCACTGGCTCCTGGTTACATAAAACCATCCGTTGATTGAGTAAAATAGTGATAGATGGAATATAAGGAGTGAATCCACTGTTAAATTTATCTACTGGGATATCAAACAACGAACTCTACTCATGGTTCAATTCATTAATCATAGGTATTCTCTCCACACATATGGTTGAAAAACTGTGGGAAACAATTAGAAGAATAATACCTAATCCCGATAACCTTTCGTTCGAGCTTGAGTTGAAAGCTATCCAAATATTTAGAAGACTACGAAGTCGAATGTCATACTACGACATCCATGTGAAGCAAAGCTGCTCTTATGCAATAATGCAAATGAAATGGGTATCAATGCCAGAATAACGCAAGATGAGGGCACATACCGTACCACTTCAAATCTTTTTTCTCCCCTGTTTCATGTGCTGCTTTCTAGTTACTTTTTGAAGAAAGCACCAGGAGGATGGTTTTAGTATGACCTCCCTGCTGAAAGTTTGTTCATTTCTTTCTGCACGTCCAACTTTGTAATAAAGTTAAGAGTACAGGAAAGCTTCCAAAACAGAAAGTAGCGAATGGATTGTCATAAGATCGAATGGTAATATTTGGCATCTTAGTACAGTAAGTATGCTGCTTAGATGACATCTCAAAACGGAATTTTTAAACATTCCATCACAATAAAATTCTTTCTAGATATCAATACTTAACATAGTAAGACTTGATTCATTTAGTTAACCATAGCTCATAAGTTTCGAGTTAATTGCACAAATTAAATCCCTGCACTGTGGAAAAAGCCATACGAAATGTGCAAGAGCTGTACACCAGAGAATCTTACAGCTAAGCAGAAATACACGCTTGCGGAAAGGACAGCAGGCATGAAGAAACTTGTTCTAAAAATAGATCAGTTCAGATAATGCATCATCTCTCTGGTTCACCAATGCCACCATCTCCAGACCTTTGAGTCTGTTCCTCATCTTTCTTTTTCTCCTTTTTGTTTTTCTTATTTAGGTGGGACCCTTTTTGCATTTATTCGATTTAATCCCCTCTGGCGAAGAATGCAGGCTACTGAGCAAGGTCGGAAGGAGGCGAGGTCTCCAGACAGGGCTTCTAGTAAAGCCACATAAGAAAACATATTATCTTACAAAAATACAACAAGAATAATGTGTACTGATTATTTTTCAGAANGAAGTATTACCTTTGGTCATTTGGTGGTGCTCTCCATCTTTTCTCGCACCTGGTCATAAGCATTAAGCAGGTCTGCCCGTTTATTTGCTACTTCTACGAGAGTTTCCAGAGCTGCAAAAGATAAAGGCACTCATGTTACCAAGATGAGGCAAAGAAGGATTGCATACATAGATAAGCCACAAAGTTAATGCCAGATTTCAGTGAGTCCTGTAGATGGTTAGAAACACCCGCTCTAGAGTTCACACAGTATATTTGGCTAGAGAAGAGAGAGACATACACCACCCTGTCTCTCACGCACACGTCATTTCTATTTAATATTCTAAACTCTCAAAAGGTTAACTTCGCCCGGGATTTTTTGGCACTCCAAGTCACTTTGATCTCCAGTAGACCTAGGTAAAAAGGTACTTCTGATGGTTCTGGAGGTATGAAAGCAATTTACCTGTCTCAAATGACAATTGGGCAGCTCGAAGCTTGGGAGAGACCAGCATCCCAAACATGGATAATGACTTGAGCCGCTCTTTTCGAGCCTAGTAAAGAAATACAATAACATTAAATTTGATGTATGCAATAATGTTCAAAGCCAAATAAATAAAAAGAGAGGTAACCAGGAAAATAGATTAGTAAGATTGATCTGAGTCCAAAAAACATCTGTAAATGGGAAAGTTAAAAGGTATTGCCAAAAAAGTATGAAATCCACTTAGGTATCTTTGATTATATATCTAAGCTGAACTCTGAAAATCCAACTTTTGCAGATTTATTAATCTTGATCTTAACCAAAAGGTTGAGAAACGTAAAACTCAAACCTTGTAGATTTGCACTTCACTTATCCAATTTTGGCTACTAGCTCGGATATCAAAACCAAGGAGAGTTGATGGACAATTTCATTAGAGTTAGTGAATGATGGTTTGAAAAGCTGATAGACAACTTGACATGTAGAAGAGAAATAGTCTCTTCAAAACATGTCACTTCAAGGGTCAAATAATAAACACAATGTTTATTGACTTGGAATCTTAATTATGGGATATTCTGTCATTTTGGAATATTGTGAACTAAGCTGAGACAAAGAATATACATTTTGCATGTCCACAAACTAAATTAGACTAGTGGTACTTGTAATTAGTAGAAGAGGCAATGTGGAACGATTGTAGGAACATAATTAAGCTGAAATCCATGTATAGAAAGCAAAAAGTAAACTAGCTATGGCTTTCATAGTGCTTGATAGAATACGGAAGAAGAAGAAGAAGATATTTCTTCATTTCAGTTTTATGAATTCACACAGAGGAAAATTGCAGGAAACTTTGAATGAAGAGAGGGGATAATACAATTGGGAAGATATGTCAGCTAAAAACAAGTTTACAAAAGTTTAAAAAATGTTTGGTTATCGATATTCATTTCCAAATCACATCACAGAAATAAAATTTGATAATCCTTATCAGAAGAAAAGAAAGGACTCAATCCAAATCACGTCACTGAATATTTTTTTTTTTCAGATGGTACTCAATATTCTGAACAGAATTATATAAATATTAAATAAACTTATCGGGCACGGAGCATTCAGATATGGTGTCAGTACCTGCAGAGTCTTTTGCATTGAAAGGTGACTCTGGCAAGCTACATTTTCAGAACTATTCATGCATTCGATCAACTAACTCAATTAGAGGTTGAATATCCTAGCTTACCCGTTTCATAGATGGGGATTTCTGTTTCTTTTTTCCTGGGAGGGGGGGGGGGGGGGTAGTGCCTTTCTGAAACCTTTAAACCTATTTCGATTAGTATCTTTTCCTTGATTGCTTGTCCTCTCACCTCTACACTCGATTGAATGTAAAAACCCTAGAATTTGGGGGTTCATCT